CCACGCGGATGCTCATGGGTTCGGATCCTCGGCCAATTCAACTTTTTACTTTTTGGTAGTTCAGCAACAAAACTTATTTTTGGGCGTACGTTGTGCGAGGTTTAGGCCTGGCTTTCGCTCTAGCGCCGCAGGCCAAAGAAAAGGTCCTTGACCCAGGCTCTCGCGCCGCAGGCCACGGATGGGTCCTGGACGCAGGCCCTCGCGCCGCTGGCCAAATCCCAGGAGGGAGAAACCAGTAACTAGCGCCGCAGGCTCAAGGATTCTAGCGCAACGCTGGCTCTTGCGCCGCAGGCCAAAGAATGGCTCCTCGACTCAGGTTCATGCGCCTCAGCTAAAAAAGAAGGTATTTAAATTCATGGTTCCTGGACGGGGTCCAGTGGAAAAGGGCCGCGAAGCGGTCTTTTTCCACTGGTTCTCTGATGCAGCAAAAAAGCGTCAAATTCCCTAACCTCCGAAAGATGAGAAAATTCGAAGGAACAATCTAAAATTGCTGGCATATAGGAAAACCTGCTTAATTTTGACACTTTAATCGGTTTTTTTACTTCGGCACGCCGAAATTTTCCTGCTCTAGTCCTAATCAAAAAAAAATAGAATATAACTGTCATCATCATGCTATTTTCAAGCACGTGGTTACCTCGTGATACGGCGTGGCGACGAAGTCATCGAAAAGCGGCAAAAATGCCAAATAGTGGAAGTGAATGGCGTTTGAAACGGCGCTTTGAGCCTGCACCCGGCAATTTTTAGTTGATCCATCGAATTTTCTCATCTTTCGGAGTAGGGAATTCGACGCTTTTTGCTGCATCAGAGAATCTCGCGCTTTTTTCGAACCCAAAAACCCTTTTTTTAAAGAATCTTTTTTAGCTAAAGAGATTAGTTCTGTTATATATAGTAGGATCCGCTGGACCGCAAGTGTCGGGGAGCCGAGTGTTGGTCTCGATAGGGCTCGATTCGATTGTCTCTTAGGATATCGTCATGCCATTGGTTAGGAAACAATTAGATCGCCGAGAGTAGGTGACAGCTAGTGTGGGCATTTGGCTCGGCTCGAAATTCGAGTTTGGCTCGAAAATCGAGCCGCTTCGATTTGGCGGTTTCTCAACACTCATTGACAGCACATTTTCAGCTCCTTGCGTCACGACTACCACCAGCTATAAACGCTTGCGTTCAAGCGATTTACTCACACCTGGCAGAACTAAAGCTCACGACAACTCCCGCTCCTTCCACAACACCAGTAAGCGCAACTGCTACTGCAACCAAAACGGGTTGACCGTTAATCGCTAACCCTGACCAGCTCCCGATAAAATTTCACAAACCCAATCAACACACACACACACACACACACACACACACACACACACACACACACACACACACACACACACACACACACACACACACACACACACACACACACACACACACACACACACACACACACACACACACACACACACACACACACACATAACACACACACACACACACACACACACACACACACACACACACACACACACACACACACACACACACACACACACACACACACACACACACACACACACACACACACACACACACACACACACACACACACACACACACACACACACACACACACACACACACACACACACACACACACACACACACACACACACACACACACACACACACACACACACACACACACACACACACACACACACACACACACACACACACACACACACACACACACACACACACACACACAACACACACACACACACACACACACACACACACACACACACACACACACACACACACACACACACACACACACACACACACACACACACACACACACACACACACACACACACACACACACACACACACACACACACACACACACACACACACACACACACACACACACACACACACACACACACACACACACACACACACACACACACACACACACACACACACACACACACACACACACACACACACACACACACACACACACACACACACACACACACACACACACACACACACACACACACACACACACACACACACACACACACACACACACACACACACACACACACACACACACACACACACACACACACACACACACACACACACACACACACACACACACACACACACACACACACACACACACACACACACACACACACACACACACACACACACACACACACACACACACACACACACACACACACACACACACACACACACACACACACACACACACACACACACACACACACACACACACACACACACACACACACACACACACACACACACACACACACACACACACACACACACACACACACACACACACACACACACACACACACACACACACACACACACACACACACACACACACACACACACACACACACACACACACACACACACACACACACACACACACACACACACACACACACACACACTTTTCTCTTTTCTCGAATTCCGATACAATTCCAAACATTTGACAGATGGGTGCCGAAAATTGCCGCTTTATTTTTGGACGCGCCGAGCAGATTTTGACAAAATGTATGGGCCTAAAGTTCTAAGAAATGGCCTAAACTTCAAGGGCCCATATATCGGCCATCCATTGTTCAATTTTGATGATCTCAACATCTATCGATATCTACTCATCGAGAGCTATCGATTGGCGTTAAAGGTATCGCATGCAAATATCTCTATGCTGAGATAACTTGCAAAAACACTTTTTGATAATTTTTTGAAAAACTTCTTGGGCCTGTATCTCGGCCCTCCTTTTTGGCGGTCTAGGACCCTCCTCCCGGAACCATTCAGGCCGAGAGCTACAAAATGACATATCGCATGTGCAGAATGGAGCTATCTACGAATTTAGCCAGCCTTCCAAAATTAGCCACTATTTTTTTATATATAGTAGGATTTTTATAATTTAAACTAAAACTTTTTCGTAATTTTTTATCGGTTTGTGGGTTTCGGACGGCGCTCTATCCGAATCCGTAGAGATTTAAGCTCTAGCTCCTTTCCCCTTCGAGTTGAACTCGGATTCGGATTCGTACAGACAGACGGACAGAGACCTCAGCAAAATCGGGGTTAGCGGGCGGAGCCCGCTAACCCTTTTTGGGTTGAGGTACCCCCCACGCGGCTCTTTTTGGGTCCTTTACCCGATTTTAGCCAGAACCATGCATCGGATCGAAAAACTAAATATATCATCGGAACCGGCGGCATGTTATGCACAATATAAGCTCATAAAATTTTCAAAAAAGTCAATTTTCGAATTTTAATAGTGGTTTTATTTTGTACTCAGAGGGGGGTTGTCTGCGTTTGTCAGGATGTCTGTGTATCCGCAAAACCTTTGTAGTCGTCGAAAAGTGCCTTCCCATGGACGGTTTTGGCTGAAAATTTGCCCAGGTATTGGCTTAACGCTAATCTCGGACAGGAAGAAGCGTTTTTTTCAAAATAGGCCTTCAAAAAATTTTAATTTAACTTTGAAGTTCAAAATTTAAATTGGAGTCAAAAGGTATCTTGTCGACTTCCGTTGGCGCTGAAATTTCTCATAGTGATGCACTGTACATTGTTTTAATATTAACTGAAGCGATTATCGTAAAATAAACGTTCTACGTTGAGATACGGCCGGAATACGTGAAAATCTGAGGTAGCAATACGGGGTGCGCGCCCTTTCTGTCTGGGCCTCTCCTTGCCCTCCCCACTAATAGACCCCTATCACGTCTCCCCTCTCCCCCGTGCCAATGAACAGACCCCACTTGTTACATTATTTGGTTTGGTTTATTACTTATTTGGTTTGGATAGGACGATTTTAGCATTGAGGATCTAACTTTACGGTAATCATCACGAGCCGCCCCATCCGCGAGCCGAGATTTTTGGATTTGGCTATTTAGGGTCAGCGCCACAGGCAAAAAGTCATAATAATACGTGGTAAGAAGCGCCGAAAGGGAAATAATGCAAGTAGTAAAAATCATAGGAGGTCTGACCATGATGTACGGTTATTATAGCGAGCCCCTAACTATTCTTACGATGGAAATCATAATTTCCTGGGTAAAAGCCCCCGAATAAATACCCAATCCCCAAGGAGAAAGATATGCAGACTAGATGGGTTAGCGCAAATTTTAAGCTTTCCGAAATGTCGTATTGAGCCGATAAGAATTAAGTAGCAAGCGTATTTGTGTTGCTTGTTCTATTATAGATAGCTCCAGTTCTTTTGCATAAAGATTAGGTGACGTGGAGAGCGGCTTTGTGGGGGCATTAGTGCGCCTCAGAGTCGGGACTCTTTTGAGGTCAGGCAGATAATGATAGCGACATCTGCCCTACGCGGGAATGATAAAAATAACCCCCGTTCCCGCCGCCAAAATACAAAAAAAACTCTTCTGCACGCAAGTGGATTATTGTAAGAACAGCGTTCGGTCAAAAAGAGCAAAATTCTCTTTAGCTAAAAAGAGATTCTTTAAAAAAAGGGTTTTTGGGTTCGAAAAAAGAGTGAGATTCTCTGATGCAGCAAAAAGCGTCGAATTCCACAACCTCCCAAACCTGAGAAAATTCGAAGGATCAGGCCTTGACAACAAGCCGGGCTCGGGCCCAAACCTGGCGGGCCGGGCCGGGCCCGGGCCTGGAATTGGAGGTCCGGGCCGGGCCGGGCCCGCTAGGCCCGGATCAGTCCTGGACGATGATTTTCGGAGAAAATTTTTCAAATTTTGAACCAAAAAAACGTTTTTTTTCGACTTCGTTCACCTTTTTTCAATTTTTTCGTTAATTTGTGTTTTCGTTAGAAAAAATCAATAAGTGACCGTATCCGGGTAATTGACATTCCTGGTTTGTAGTTTTTTTAGAAGCTTTAGAAGGATTATAAGCCGGAATTTTGTTGTTGGCCTGAATGGACTAACAGGAACTGTTAGGATGGTTTACAACCTGGTTTAGGGTATTTTCAGGATCAGCTGTATAGATCTTAGCCGCAAAACGGCCAACCGCGCAAAAAAACAACGAACAAAAATTGTCGGTAGTTGACCTTACTATTGGCCGGCAACAAAAGATCTGTAAATAGTTTTCAGAAAGTTTGTAAGGTTTTTCTATGCAGAATTAGTTAAAAACTGTTTAGAAAGTATTGCTTCGATTTATATCCAAAAACCCCTCATAGGCCAAAAAAATTTGACCGGTCCGCCCTGGCCTTATTTAGTACCGGGCCGGGCTCGGGCCTGAAATTCCGGATTTGGCCGGGCCGGGCCGGGCCCGGGCCTGGCTGGGCGACCCCCCTCAGGCCCGGCCCGGCCCGTTGTCAAGGCCTGCGAAGGATTAACCAAAAATTGCTGGCATCTAGGAAAACCTCCCTAAATTTTTGCAATTAAATTTTTTTTATTTTCGGCAGATTGAAATGCTCCGTATTTTTCCGAAAATTTCCGAATCTTGAAATTGAATGAGATTGAAAGGCGATGGGCGGCGGGAAGGGCCTCTTCTGTCTAGGGGGCCGGGCATCCTGTGAGGGGGGACTTCTGGTAACTTTACAAAATTCTCTTTTTTGAGCCTGAATGCGGCAAAAATTTGTAAAAGTAATAAGGTACGCGTGATCCCCACTATCGAATACATAAGTGGACCAAATTACAGCCCAAAATTCCATCTGGGCGTCGAGTTATGGCCCGGACACCACGGGACTGTGGCCATTTTATTAAGGACCTTCTAGTAAATTGCTCATAAAAACTTTATTGAGGAATTTGGCAAAATCCAGAAAATAGTATCGGGAGAATTGTTTCTTCCATTCACTCTCCAAAAATCAGCGCCCAACTCCTCTTAGCGGCCGAGAAAACCTCCGGACATACCGTTTTTTCAGCGAAATGTTAAGGATTTTTCACTATTTTGGTTGTAAAATCGTCAAATGAAGGAATTTCGCAAAACAAAAAAAATTCATCACTGACAAATGTGTTTCTCCACCTCCGTGCCAAAAATCAGCTCGAAATTCGGCCTGACGGCCGAGAAATCGGCTGTACAGAAAACAGACATACTTTTCTCGCTTATAGGATAGGATAGTGCCACCCTACTAATTCGACCATGCTCTTTCAGATGACGTCAAAAAAACAGGATCAAAAAAACTGTACAAAGCCTTGTTTGGGTGACCCGCGGACGGTCTTTTAACAGTTTTAATTATGGGCAGTATTCTGTAAACTAATTAGTTATACGGACCCGCCACCCGTCTATCGCCCGCATCAGGGGAAACGGTGATAAGGCTCTTCTGCACCACATTTTATCGAAAAACCCAAAAATCACCCAACACACAAGGAATACAAGTATTTGGCGATATCTGTGTTGCTTCGGGTCTGCTGGGCGCGGGGGTCGGCAGGCAGAGCGTGGTCGTGGCAGTTGTAGTCTCTGCAAACAAGGTTGATTCAAACCGCGCCTAGAGCCTCTCCAGGGAATGGGATCCGCTCGACCTCTAACTTCGGGTTGAAAGTTAGCTCATCTTGTAGAGCTCGTCGAGACGAATCGGTCAGCCATAAAAACTGTGCAGTCTAATTTCACGCACACGCACAGGTTGGATTTCGAAATCGGAAAATTTCGAAAAACGCTCGCGGCTATCCCTGGGTAATCGACTACGGAGAACACGATGCCGTTGTCCGATTTTCCTGCCGAGGCTTGTGGACGGAGATACAGCGCTTCCGGAAAATCGCGATTTGCATGGAAAAAATTAGAATCCCTGCAGGTTTATTAGGCTCTGCCATCACTACAGGGTGGGTCAAAAAAAAAGCCAACTTTGCGCCATCATATCTCGCGAACGGTAGAGGATCGAAGGTACGTTACCATGCCAGAATGCTTAAATATGCTGGGAATGAAGATTTAACACAAGTTGTTTTTTTCGATTTTTGAGTACACAACTGTACTATTGACGCTGGTGACGACCGAAATTGTGCGTTCTTGAACGGGTGTTGGAACGGGGGAACGGGCCAATTTTTCAACTTTAGAATGTTCACTGGGTGATTATCAGAACGCAGGCAAAAAATTACTTGATTTCTGTGGCAAATGACAAAGTTATGAGGGAAAGTGGAAAACCATCCTCGGGGCCCGATTTTGGACCCGAGGCCCTAGCACGAAAATCGAATTTTTGAAAATGAAAAAGGCACCGGGGTTTGGTGGATACAATTAAAACACGCATCGAACAGTGTATGAGAGCAGAATTCTGGAATGATCTGGATGAAGTTAATGGTTAATTTTGATTTAAAACCCGAAAATAACGTTTTTTGAAAAGCCGACTTTGGGGAGCTCTTCTAAATTCGTTTGCCATGAAAAGATTTTGTATTTGCATGGGTCCTAATTGACTAACCAAGCTTGGTCTATGCCAAAATAGTCGGGCCTACTAGAGCTTCAAGAATTTTTTTACGTCGCCTCGAATTCAAGTATATTTGCACCTTTCATGAATTTCTTTTGAGAGATTGGATGGCCCAATAAATTTGTAAATATAATCTTAGAATGCGCCCATTAAGAAGTATGAAATAAAATTATGACAACAATTCCAGCCTCTCAATTGAATTTTCTAAACTGGCATGAAGGTCTGCGAAATAGCACGAACAAACCGTTTTGGAAGCGCTAAAAGGCACCCTTCCAAAGGGGTACGGTAGCTAGAAATTGTTTTCATGATAGATGGACCCCAGTCCTACACAACGAAGCAAAGCAAACACCGAAATTCTATCTGCCATTTTAGAAATATTTTTCCAAAATTCAGTTTCGGGACCTCGCAAAAATTCATGACCAAGTCGTCGAAAAACTCAAAAATTCGTGGATCTGAAAAATTTTTTTGATGTTTTTGTGCGATTGTATCGAGCCCATCGACATGCTAAAACAGCTTATTTTGAGGTTTCCACCATAGGTTTTTGTAATATTCGAAATTTACGAAATTTCTCGATATTAAATTTGAGCGCGCTATAACTTGCCACCCTGACCTTCAAAAATTCCAAAATTCTGGATGTGCGTAGGGGCAGTCCTTAGATACCTACACTGTAAAAATTGGAAGTGTTTGACCACCAGCAATCCAAAAATGCAAACGAAGTTTTGCCGGAACGCACATTTTTCGGGTGTCATTTGTATTGATACGTCGCCAAAAATCGAAAAAATCAAATTGTGTTAAATCTTCATGCCCAGCATATTTAAGCATTCTGGCATGGTAACGTACCTTCGATTCTCTACCGTTCGCGAGATATGATGGCGCAGAGTTGGCTTTTTTTTTACCTACCCTGCATGGAATCACCGGTCGAACGGCCGGTGATTCCATAGTGATAATAAGTCTAGCAATAAAATAAAAACTTTTTGGACACTTTTATTTTCCGGTGTTTGAGCACCAGAAAAGTTTGTGGTTGGGCTAGTGTAATTGGAATTGTTAGAAGTGTAAAACTGGTTGGCTTGCTGCGGAAATCGCGCTTCCAATTCAATATTTTTATCTACACGAAACGGTCAAAAAGGTGGTGGGGGGCTTGGTCTCTCGTTTCTCTCTCTTCACGTCTGGATCCTCGGGGACGTATTTATGATGGGCAGGTGAGGGGGCGACGGTTTCTGGAAAACATTCGTTAATGGATTTATGTTTTTGGGGCTCGGGGCGATCGGACGCCCTTTGCACCGGAAAAGCTTATGACTGTTCAATGACCAGGTCCTAGCCTATAGTCGGTGAAATGAATGATAATTTGGCGGGTAGCACTTTATGCTAGTTAAGTAATGGAAAAAGGTGTTTTAGAGGTAAAAGAGTATTTTTGGGCAGGCGGCACTTTATGCCTTATTTACATCTCCCTTCCCTACGGAAGATCCGTCCTCGGATCTTAGATGGACTCACGCTTTCAGAGGCGGGAGGCGAAATCCTGGCTGTTGATCACCCAGCCGTGTTCCGTGGCATATTGGAAGAGTCGGTTCCAGCATGCGGTTCGGAAGCCTTGTTCGGATCCCAGCACGATCATTCCTTGCCTTGCTCTGGTGACCGCGACACATGCGCGGTGTCGGTCCGCAAAGAAATGTCCTTCGTGGGCTTGGGTCGAGTGGGTGGTGAGGACCAGGACCAGTTCTGCTTGGCTGCCTTGTGCTCGCTCTACAGAAGTACAGCGAGGCGCCTGGTTCTCGGTGTGGTCGCGTTTGAGGATCTGTTGCAAGAGGGCTTTCTGCTCGTTGTAGTACGTGACGACGAGCGTTTCTTCCGGGCTGAAGTGGGCACGTGTGTAGCGCAGAATTTTGGCGGCTAGTTCGGCCTCGATGAGGTTTCTGCTGCTCGTGTTGGCGGCACGTTCGTGACGTCCGCTGTGCACAACGAACAAGACTGGACTTGGGGTCGCGGTCCACCGGTTTAGATTTACGAACCGTGTGCGATCCCGTGGTTGGATTCTGGTCCGGAGGCGGGAGTCGTAGAACACCGTGTTCGCGAGGTTCATCATATCAGGGTGAGCTCGCCATGTTGATGTGAGAACGACTCGGGGAACGAGGTCCGAATTCAGCGTAACTGCGAGTGATGGTCTCATAGCCCAGTGTCGCACCCGGTTTCCCTCTGCCATCCGTGTGTAGGGTTGAGATTGCCGGATATCGCCGATTAAATAGAGATTGGCGTGGGGGAAAGTTACGTGGAGGGCGAAGAGCGTGGCCTCGCTGACGATCGATGCTTCATCTATCATGATGGTAGAGACGCTGGCGTGGAAGCACTTGAAAAGCCCGTTTTTTAGCTGGGGGAGCGAGCCGATGGTTGCCCCAAGGATAGACGGGGGGCGGTTCTCGCAGATCAGTTTGTAGATGCTCTGGAGTTCAGCGCTGGGGTTTTCCAAGTCGATCACAACGGACTCCGCATCCGCGATTTCCTGGGGGTCTGACAGGTTCCCTTGGAGGTAGTCCCTCATCAGTGCTCGGCGTCTTGTGAAGTCTGCTTGTTTTCTGGCTTCAGCTGGGTCAGTAGCCGGGTCTTCGCTGATCTCTTGTGCGAGGGTCGGGATATCTGCCGCCGTAGTCCTGGTTTCGGTGGCGCCGTCTGCGAGGAAGCGATGGACGTGTGTGTGAGGGCCCGTCAGTTCAGTCTCGATGACGGCTTCAGCCAACTCCGCGATTGCGTTGTTCGTGTTCGAGGCCAGCAGAGTCACGCCTCGTCCCATAAGCGCCCGATGTCGCGCGGCTACGGCTATCGTTGTGGTCTTTCCTGCTCCGAAGGCCGAGAAGAGAGCACCGCTTCCGTAGTCGCCGGCTAGTAGCTGTATGGCGGACTTCTGTTCGTCAGTTGTTAAAGTAATTTGGCTGGCCCGCGAGTATGAGCTCGGGGCGGGAGTTGCTGGTGTTTGGAATCGGGTAGACGGCATCTGGTCGAGGGTGTGGCGGCCTCGCTGTGCTGAGTAGATGTTCCTGATCGCCGTCCGTGCCTTGGTTGTTGCGCCGAGAGGCGCGTTGTCTCGGGCCAACGAATTCAATAGCCATGTGCCATTTTTGCTGACTGGTACTCGGTACACGGTCCCGAGAACCTGTTGTCGATCGGTGAACGCTGCCAGTTGGTTCAGTTCTGATCCTAGCGGGATCGCAACGAAGATGGAGTCGATTGGCCCGGTTCCTTCGATTTTTGTTTGCGTAATGGTGGAAATAACGAAGATTCCTCTGTGGGCGAAGCTGCAGACGATGCGTGTGCCTGGGCGCCAACCGCCTTCGGAGGATTTGTTGTCGATCCTGAAGTGCAGTTTTACGGCTCGGTTGTTTGGGCTGCGTTCGACAACGAATACGGTCGGATGGCGGCGGCGGTCTTCCTGTCGTGATTCCAAGACCATGTGTGTCGTTGCTCCGAGTAGCAGGCTGTCCTGCAGGAGTTCCAGGCCGTTTTCCGGGTTGCTCTTGAACAGCTCGAATCTGTGCAGTCTGTCCCTTATTTGCTCGAGCAGCTGATTTTCGACGGGTTCGATTCGTGTTGGAGTGGGTGCTTCGTCTGAAGGTGGGGTTGGTTCTACCTTTACGACGAGTGACCGCAAGAGCGCGTCGTCTTCGCGGCTGCTTGGGATGCTGGTCAGGTAGAACGATGATGGTGTATTCGTCCTTGGCGTGCACATTAGGATTGTGTCGATCGTATATGGCCCGTGGTTGTAATTTTGCAGCCGTGATACGCGACACGGACGATGTTCCGAGCTGATCGCCAAATAATTGTCCTTTTTATGTATAGCCGTCTCCCTAGGTGGTGTATGGAGACAGTAGGCCAATGCTGGGGGTCTTGTTGAAGGTGTGACTAAATCAAAATCGAGCGCGTTGAATACGGGCCGGATGTCTTCGGTTCGGATCCCGGTTAGACGCGCGGTTTCGATATCCAGTTGGAGGTTCCGACGTTGGCGAGCGCTCTTTGTGATGGTGAGGCTGTGGATCCAGACGAAGTCTCCAAGACTTACTTCACTTGGGATGACTCCACGTTTGCCTCCGGTTCTGTTCCAGGAGCCGTTATCGAGGGTTATGTAACGTAGTTCCTCCTGCTTGTAGAACACATCGAAACTCATGGATTCGATTAGTAGCGTTCTTCCGGCTCGTATTTCAATTACGCGGAAAAGCATTGGCAGTGGCTCGGAAAATGGTGGTTTGAGGATTGTGACGTTGCTATCTCGAACCAGCTCACCCTCTCGTACCGGCATTGGGGCTGTGGGATCTTGTAGATACTCGCTGCAGACGTCTCTTGCGTGTTGCCTGAAGGCGGCGATGTCGTGCATTCTTGCCACGGCCGTGATGGGGAATTGGTAGTCCGGCCACTTACGCTGCAATTCGTGGGCATGGAAGCAATGGAGTTGTTTGCAGTTTTCGACGGTTCTGTAGTCGGTGATGGTCAGCTGGACCAACTTGGAGAAGTCGTGGTCGATCTCGTATCGGGCGTATTCTTCTCTGGTCCAGGGCTGCTGCGGCTCGGTCATTCGGGCCAGGGGATGTTCTACCCAGTCACCGACAGGTCGTACGAGGGCAGGTCTTGGGTGTCTGATTGGTTGGTATAGATCTCCACCGGTCGAATCTCTGTCGGAAAAGGGGGAATTGGGTCTGCTTCCGTCGTCGGCAAGTGCTTCTTCAGGTCCTCCTTCCACGGCTCGTGCTGCTGCGGCTAAGTAGTTTGCCTGGGCATGGCTCAATATGTGCGGTTGGCTGGGTTGCTCGAGCTCGATCACTTCTTGGAGATCGTCCGATTCATATTCCAGTTCGTCTTCTTGATCTCCTGCTTCCGGTTCCGACTCGGTGTCCATTGGGTCGTCCTCGAGATCCGATATGCATTCGGCTCGTCGGCGTTCCCTTTCTTCTTCGTCGATTTCTTCGGGGTCCGGGTTAGCTTCGGGTTCCATGTTGACGTCGGGGTAGTTCCGTTGTGGTGATGGGCCGTCGGGTAAGGGTATGTCCTGCACCGCGAGTTGTGGGGGCGGTGAGTTCATCTCCTCGGAGTGGTAGACGGGTTGCACATTGGCGGGGCCGACATTTTCGGCGAGGGTGGGGCTTTGGGTCATCGTGCGCTTCGTGCGCGGTGGGAGGGAGGCGCGCCGTCTCTGGCGCGGCATCTGAAATATGAGGTTTTTGGGAGGGCAAGCTAGTTTTATTGTGAGAACGAGATGGAAAACCTAGGTGCACAGCAAAAAAAAAATACGTAAAGAGAACTGTGAATTCGTGTTGGTGTTAAAAGTGAAAAAATAGAAGGATTTCTGTACCGGATTGGCGCTAGTGGAGCTGCCTTTATTGTTGGTCTCCTTTGCGGGGTCTGAGGTTGTACCTTGGTTCTACAGTGGCTTTAGTAGTGGTTTCTGCTACCGGGGGGGTGGGTACTTCGGACTGGCTATATCCGGGGGTGGTTTAGGTCTGGGCTCCAGCGGCGACGAGGTCTTCCATTTCGTCATCGGGTGTTTGTTCTAGTGTGGATGCGGGGCCCGTGATCTCGAAATACTTTTTAAGTTGATTGAGGTGAACCTTTTTAGGGGGACTATGGGGTGAGGTTTTTGATACTATTGTGGCGTGAGGGTGCCTTACTTCAATTACTCGAAAAGGGCCTGTCCACGGCATGCATAATTTTCTACTGAGACCTGGCTTTTGGGTAGTGTTGCGCAAGCTGACTAAATCACCGGTTCTGATATCTAATGGGGGAAGATGCGAGAAGTTGCGCTTGTCTGAGTTGTAAAAGCGTTCTCGAGCTTCGGCCGCGTGGCCGGCTGCCTTTTTCCAAGCGTCTGCGAGTAAGCGTACTAGTTGGTCTTTAAATTCAGCCATTTCCGAGTCCTTAGGGTATTGGGTTTTGGCTGCCTCGTCGATAACTAAACTTATATTAAAGACTGGGTCTCTCCCGTGCATTAGGAAAAAGGGAGTTTCTTTGGTCGTGGAGTGCACGGTTGTGTTATAGCAAAATGTGCAAGACTGAACTAAGAGGTCCCAATTGTCTTGATTTTCTTGGACATATGCCCTTAGGTAATATTGGAATGTCCTGAATAAACGCTCGATCGCCCCGTTCCCTTCGTGATGGTAGGGAGTCACGAAATGATGTCCGATTTTTAAAAGCTTGCCGATTTCGTCAAAAAGTTCGGACCGGAAGTAGCTGGCGTTGTCGCTTACGATGTTACGTGGGGTGCCATATCGCAGAAAAACTTCGTTTGTTAAGGCGTGTGCTATCGTAACGGCTTGGGAGTCAGGGAGGGGCGCACTTACAGCGAATTTACTAAAGTGATCTATGGCGCTCAGAATATACTTGTTTCCTCTGGGGCTGGTTTTGAATGGGCCGCATCAGTCTATATACACGCGCTCGAATATAAAATTAGTACTAGTTGGGAGAAGGGTTTCGTGATTTCTAGAATCGGTGGTTTTCTTTTGGCATGTATCGCACGTCGTGCACCACGCGGCTACGTCCTTTTTCATATTGAACCAAAAATAGTGGCGGAGTATTTTCTTTAGGGTTTTTGAGTTGCAAAAATGTCCTCCGGCGCTTGCGCTTTCGTGGAATGCTTCAAACACTAGGCGTCTGAGACTATCCGGGATGAGTAGCTGAGGCTGAATGCGAGGACCGTTTTCGTTTGGGTGCTTACGGTAGAGGCATCCGTTTTTTCCTACGAAGAGTTGTTCGGCCTGGTCCAAAAATGCGGTCTGTTCAGAATCTAATGGCCCTGGGAGGTATTTATCTGGATTTCTAAAGAATTCGAGTACTTTTTTACAAAATGGGTCGTTGATTTGGGCTTGTAGCGCGTCAATCGGGCGGATTGAACGGCTATTGGGTACGATAGCGGGGATAGCTTGTCCAAATGTTGCTAGGCAAACAGGGAATTCGATGATATCGGAGGATTCTGGGTGGTTTTCCTTGAATTTTGATTGGGGATCTACAATTCTTGATAAACAGTCTGCTACCTGATTGGTTGCGCCCTTTACATAAGTGATTTTGATATTGAACTGTTGTAATTCAATTATCCAGCGGGCTAAATGTCCGTTCATTTCCGTACTGCTATTAAGTAACGACACTAAAGGTCTGTGATCGCTGCGAATTTCGGTAAAATTGCCGTAAATAATATATTTAAAATGTCGCAGCGCGGCTATTATTGCGAACAATTCTATGTGGGTTGGAGCCCATTTACGTTGCGTATCAGTAAGACATTTGCTGAAAAAGCCAACCGCACGTAGATTGCCGGTGTCCACATCGTTCTGCATCAGCGCTGCACCCACAGCCATTCCGGATCCATCAGTGTAGAGAATAAAAGGGTCATTTGTGGCGTAAGCTAGACAAGGTTTTGTTACTAAAAGTTCTTTGATTTTTTCAAATGCGACGGTCTCTTCTGGTCCCCAGCGGAATGGGCATTTTTCTTTGCTTAAATTGTAAAGAGGATCGGCTATTTTGGCGAAATTGGGGACAAATTTCCTGAAAAAGTTTGCCATTCCGATAAACTGTTTGACTTGGCGAGCGTTTTCGGGGGTGGGCATTGTTTTAATAGCCAAGAGGTTGCGGTCGGCTGGAAAATAGTCCGATCCGGATATTTCGTGTCCCAAAAATACTACTCGGTCTCGTGCTACGTCGGTCATTTTTCGACCGTTCGCTTTTATTTTAAATAGCCGAAAACGTTCAAATACGATTCGTAGGGATTTTAGATGTTCTTCAAATGTTTTGTTATGGATACATAGGTCGTCTAGATACCAGACGCAATTTTCGGAAATGCTACCGGAGAGGATGCGAGCCATTGCACGAGAGAAAGCGGCTCCGGCGTTCTTTAGGCCGAAGGGCAGGTACAAAAATTGGTATACGCCTTGATGAGTGAGCCATCCACACTTATATGATGCTTCGGGGGTGAGTTTTAGTTGTAAATAGCCCGAGGCGCAATCGAGGCAAGTAAAATAAGTGCTATCCTTAAACTTATTTACGATGTCATTAATGAGTGGAAGTGGGTAAGGGTCCTGAACGCAGCAAAGGTTGGTGGATCGTAGGTCAAGGCAAATTCTAAGTGATCCGTTTTTCTTGGGTACTACTACGGAAGGGTGAATCCAGGGTGTGTCACTTTCGCAAATTCGGCCGGCGTTTAGGAGTTTCTTAATATGTTCTTCTACTTCTTTTTGAAATTTAATTGGGATTCGGGCGTGCCGGAATTTGGTGGGGGGGATTTTCGGTAGTTGTTTTGATATCTACCAGTGTCTCGTCATAGCTTCCTAGATCGTAGTCAGAGAATGATATGCAGTCTTGATATTCCTCAAAAAGTAAATACATCTCTTCTTTTTGGATTTCGTTTAATTTGGAATGGGATAGATCTATTTGGCTTCTAACTGTAAAGTGTTTTCACTCAGGCTGGCGTTTTAGGATGGGACCAAGCCTATCTTGTTCAGAATTTTTTGCTGATTCCGAATCCGTTTTCCAAATTTGCTGCGGACTTTGCGTTGAAAAGTCATTTCAGGTCGAAATTAAGCTAAAAAACGGCATAAATTCGGATGCTGGCCCACTATTCCCTGTCTGGGCCCAGGTATTGTTGTGCCCCTTATCTACCCTCCCGAAACCCCCTGTCCAGTTGGCACCATAGTGCATTGGTAAGCTGTTCGCTTGCCAGGCACAGGGCGGCGGTTCGATCCCCGCCCTGCACAATTTCTTTTTGCTTTTTGCACAAAAACGCATGATTATTTGCATAAAATCGTACTTTGACCTCTAAAACCATTACCGAGCCAGTTTTAACGTCGGAGGTGACGACAACTTAAAAAATAACGCAAAAAATCCAGATTTAGTCAATTTTTTTAGCCTAAATGTCGAATAACTTTTTAAATAAAGGTCGGCAGCAAATTTGGAAACCAGATTCTGAATCAGCGAAAAATTCTGCACAAGATAGGCTTGGTCCCATCCCAAAACGCCAGCCTGAGTAAAAACACTTTACAGTAAGGTTAGTTGGTTCGGGAAAAACTTGGATATTGTTGGCGGGTGCGGCATTTTCCGCGGGGTTTTCAAAAATTTCTGCGCTCGCCAGAGTGGCCTTTGCGTAGATGACAATTGCTTGATTAGTTGGGTTCGTTACTATCAAACGGGGGTTGGATGAATGTACGATTGAGGGGGCAATAAAAATATTTGGTGTATTGAGAGACTCGGTCTGGGGGGTAGCAAAGAGGTCAATCCTAGGGTCTCTGGGGGAAGTTTCGCATTTGATTAGAGATTCAGATTTGGCCGGAATAGAAATGGTTTCGGCAGAAATTAGGAAAAATTCTTCTTCCACTGGTTTTGGGATTACTAAGGAAGCTATGGTGGCTTTTGAATCCATTGGGATGGATTGGGTGCCGCATCGAAAAATCCTATTTTTGTAGTCAATCGACCACGGGGGAAGAATGGAAAGGAAGTCATTTCCTAAGATGATGTTGTATGAATTGATGGCTGATTTTGGTGCACAAGAACCGTTTGTAAAAAGAACTGCATGTTGGAAAGCTTCGCTTCCGATCTCAATTTTGACTAGAGAGGTACCTAAGATTGCTACGTGTTGGCCGGCTATTCCGAATGCTTGAGAAATTGGGGCTGGGTCTAGTTTGAATGCGCCAATCAAAGTTCGAGTATAATCGGAAGCTAGGGAAATGCCTGCCCCGGTGTCTAATAAACCTAACATACGGATCCCGTTGAGGCGGATCGGTATTTGAGCCGTGAAAAATGGAGAGGACTGGCATGTGAGGACTTGGATAGAGGGGAAGCTGGGGATGGGGGAGGGGTGGAGGTACTGTATGTCGTGGGGCTGGGAGGCCCGTAAAAAATGAGGCGAGGGGTCTTCGGGGATGTTTTCGGAGAAAGGGGAATCGGAGGGGGTGCTAATGGACATTTCTGACCTGTCTGCCCTTTGCTCGCTGTTGATGGGTACCGTAGCTTCCGTTCCCATTGCCCATCCAAAAAGTCGTTGAGGGATCGTCCGTGGCATTCGGTTCCCTGCGGCGTTTGAAATGCTGAAAAGGATACTGTAACCTAGGCCGATCTGGGCTAGTTTGAAAAGTACCCAGATTGTAACTATGGCTGAAGTTATCGAAGTCCAAATGT